TATTTACATGTCCCGTCCACTGCTGATCCGCGGTGTGGGGAAAACCGCTGTCACCTCCAGGAAATGACACTAGTCAGTCTCATAGACTAGAAAACGTTTCCATGCCTGTCTGAGACCCATGACTTTCTGAGTTTTGGAGAAAAGGGCCTTTGCCACCTGGAATCTCTTTGTTTCTTATTTTTCTGTTCCCATGCGCCAGATGAGAACTGATTTTGGAGTCAGATTCCTCTCGTTTTAATCCTGGCCCCACCGTGCTCTGCCCACTTGGCCTCAGCTTAGTCGTTTAACCTCTGGGTCTCAGTTTCTTCATCCCTGAGGCAGGAATGGGTGAAGGCCATGAGCAAGCATGGGTCTCGCAGGCCTCCCATCAGAGGGAGGGTGACCAATCACAAGCCCCGGCTGCAGCTATGGAACCCCCTGTGGGCTGCGCCCAGCCGGTGACTGAGTGCGGCAGGGGCCCTTAGGCAGGTATTTTCCTGGGGGACATACAACTCAGAGGGCCAACTTTGGCTCAAGAACTCCTCGACAGCCGTGCTGAACCTTCCTCAGGTGGCCTAGGGTGGTTTTGTCCATCCTTCCTTCCCTCTCTCCTTTACTCGGGCCAGACTCACAGTGTGTCTGCTGGCTGTGCTAGCCTCCCAACGGACTCCCGCTTTCTCTCACACACGCCTTCCCCTAATAAAATCCATGCACAAAACCCCCGCTTGGTGTCGGCTTCTGGGAGGATCTGGACTCACACAGGGTGATCATACCTCAAGGTGAGGACCAAATGCAGTGACGTAAGTGAAGGGTTTATTACAGTGATGGGCACAAAGGAAGGGGTTGGACATCCATGACCCTCACTACCACCACAGCCATCATCGCCTGGCCATTCTGCTTTTCTGCTGGCTTCAGGCACAAAGAGCTCCAGTGGAATCTCAGGTCGCACAGCAACTTTGTATTAGAGTCAGAGCCACTATGGCTTCTGAGGAGAATGAATGGATTCATTAAAACACCCTTTAAAAACATATCCAATTAGCCCTGGCTGGTTTGGCTCAGTGGCTAGAGTGTGGCCTGCAGACTAAAGGGTCGTGGGTTTGATTCTGGCCAGGGGCACGTACCTGGTTTGCAGGTTTGATCCCCAGCTCCAGTCAGGGTTCAGGGTCATGTGGGAGGCAACCAATCAATGTATAGAGATGTTTACATATCTCTCACATCGATGTTTCTCCTCCCGCTCACCCCCGTCCCCTCCATTCTATCTAAAAATCAATGGAAATATATCCTCAGGTGAGGATGAATCCCCCAAAAAATCTTATTCAATTCAAGCAAAAGGCACAAGCCAAATCTTTTTCCAGCCAATGAAATGTGCAACTAACTTTGCTAAGGCAACCAACTTCATTTTTAGTCCAATGCACAAAAGGTTTGTAGTATTCAGAGGTTCCTGCCAGTGCTCCTGATATCTACAAATATACTCCAGTCAGTAAACCAGGGCAGCTCATTGGCTGTTTCTGAGAACCCTGTGGAGGTTAAAAATATTGGCCATCATTAGTCACATTTTGCAGATAAGGAAACAGAGAAATTAAGAGGCAGTTTCAAGGTCACCCAGATGCTCACAGGTTTGGGACTGAAACTCTGGTTTTTGCCCCTGGTGCTTTGGCAACTCAGGGATTGGTGGATTCTGTTAAAACTCTGTTCCCAGACGCAGTCTCTTAGCAAACTAGCATACAAAGAGCTGTCTCAAGCCAAATTCTGCCCAGCCTCCAGGGTTCTAGAAACCCTGGAACCATCCATGATGCAGGAGTCAGTGAAGAAGGAGACCCAGCTGGCCTCCATGCTCAGGGCTGTCATCTATCACCCAGCGGAACTTCAGCCTAATGGTTGCTCCCGACACTGCGGACCATGTTCTCTAATTAGATTGTCACTCCTCCCAGCACCACACACAGCTCCTCGTGCCCACTTAGCGCTCAGTAAATCCTTGTGACGGAGGACGGTGGTGATTCTGGTGGAGCTTTGTTTATAGCTTGAAGGAATTATCAGCAATAACAACAACAGAAAACAAGTATTTGCTGTTTGCCAGGCACTGTGCCAAGATGCGGAGATCCAGTGATTAACACACAAGCTTTCTGACTCCGACGCGTCTATCGGCTCGTGGGGAGACAGACACGCCAGGTCTGCCTGGAGAGCCCAGGACGGCTTCCCAGAGGAGGCATCTCTGAGCTGAAACTGAGGAGGATGGAGTTTTCCAAGCAGATGAGGCAGGGAGGGGCCGCCCTGCTCTGTTCCAGGGCCTGCTGCTCAGTCTTGCTGGAATGCCGAGCTGTTTTCCACTTAGCACCACTCACCCGCGTTGTATGTATGGTTTGAATGTGCCAACATTTCTTCCTACTTACCATTCTCCATTCATTTCATCAACCATCACTGACTGGCACCTGCTGTGTGCCAGGCACTGTGCAGGACACTGGGGTACAAAGGTGAGGGGTTCACACAGTGCCTGCTCTCCTGGAGCTCTCGGGTGAATGGCAAGCAGACGGTCTCTCTCAACACCAGAGCGCAGTGGGGGCGGACCGAGGGAGACTGATCTAGTGGGGGTGTATTATTCCTGTTGCTGCTGAAACCAATTGCTGCATATGTAGTGGCTTAAAACAACACATATGTATCATTTTATGGTTTGGGGAGGTGAAAAGTTCAAAATCTGCCTCACTGGGGGGAAATGAAGGTGTCGGTGGGGCTGGGTCCTTCTGGAGGCTCCCCTGGCTGGTGGCTGCTCACTCTGACCTCGGTTTCTGTCCGTACATCTTTCTCCTTCTCTGGCACCCCCGTCTCCCTCTTACCAAGACATTTAAACCGAGCTCACCCAGGTAATCCAGGAAAACCTCCCTGTTTCCAGGTTCTCAATGTAGTTACATCTGCAAAGTCCCTTTTGCCATGTAAGGTAATATAGGCATAGGTGCTAGGGTGAGGATGTGAACATCTTTGGGGGCCATTATTCTGCAGACCACAGAGGGAACAGTGGTATTTGACCCCAGATTTATGGATCAGAAGGTGGGTGAAAGTGGAGCAAGGAGGTCACCTAGGAGGCTGCTGGATTGGTCCAGGCACAACGTGAGGGTGACCTGGATGAGGCTGGTGGCCATGGACTTGGTGAGAGGTGCAAGGGATTGAGAGGACAGCAAGGAGGTCGAATGGATGGGAAATGTGGGCAGGGTTGGAAGAAAGCTGCCCTAGACACGGCTCACCCTCGGTGTCAAGGGCGAGTAGGAACGTGAATGTAGCATCTTCACGGAAGAGTGAGCAAGAACAGAATTCCCAGGGTGCTGATTCTGATTCTTTTTTTTTTTTTTTTTATCCTCACCAGAGGACATTTTTCCATTTTTTGTTTAGGTAGAGTGGGAGGGAGAGAGAGGAACAGAGAGAGAGAGAGAAACATCGATGTGAAAGGAACACATCGAGTGGCTGCCACCCGCACAACCGACCAGGGCCGGGGACAAACTGCAACCGAGGTACGTGCCCTTAGCGGGAACCGAACCCAGGTCTCTCAGGACCGCAGGCCGACGCTTTAACCGCTGAGCCAAACCGGCCAGGGCTGATTCTGATTCTTAAATCTCTCGGTCAGAGATTCCAGAGAGCTTTATGTCATGTAAGTCATAAGGAAACCTAACAATTAATGATGTTATTTGATAGAACAATATATATGATAAAGGCTGATGCTCAGGTTAGTTTCCAAAGGGAAGAGCTGATTTTGAGGCTCTGGCAGGAAAAAGCTGATGCACAAACCTAGGTTCCCCGAGGTGGTCATCCCTCTGGCCAGGTGTTGTCAGGGTCACTGGTGTTTTGAACAAGGAGTGACATTCCTGAACTTTCATTTACCTTGAGTTTCCCAAGACAGAGGTGGAGCAGTTTAGCGAGATTGAGCTTGTTTGCCCCACTTAGGTAATTAGGTTTGTCATCTCCTAATACCTTATTTACACAACGGTCAGATTGCACCATAACGGAGACCACGATAAACGTTAGTAAAACAAAGAGAGAACAGAATCAAAGTAAAATGCATGGTAGCATCACCTGTGCAACAGTGCCCTGAACTTCCTGCCATTCCAGAAAAGACCCCAGCTTCACACGTGTACCTCCTAGGGGATGAAACTGCTCCCACAGAGACCAGGGACCTTTGAAAATTCCAGGTGTTCTGCAAGCCAGGGCAAAGCTCCTTTCCAATAGCTTCTTCTTAGAGGAAAATAGAAAAAAAAAAAACTTTTATTACTAATAGATCAGGAGTGATTATATCTGACATATCATATTTGCTGTTGAGTGATAACATCTAGGAGGTGTTTTATTCCTCTTCTATTTTCCAGGAAACCAAGTTCATTGGCATAAAAACCTCACTCGTTGCTTCCTCCTTTCATTATGGCTGCCTTTCTTTTTCTTCAACTTCATAGTCTTCAGAAACCCAACCTTTCTTTACTGTTTCTCATCTTTGACTCATCTCCCTTAGAGCAAGCTCACTGACCACAGGGACTTTTAAACTTGCTGGTTGTTCATTTTGTCTCCGCTTTTTCGCTTTTTTGTATCATCTAGCTTTCAGGACTTAGACAGAGTCGCCGAGGATCCATCTCTCATTAATTTCCTCTCTAAGTTGAACAATGTGTCTGTTTTTCCAACTGGGGATTTGTTGCGTATCTTACATGTTGTTTAAACAAGGAAGCTGAGAGAGGGGGTGAATGATAACAGAGACCTGGCCTCAAATTTGGACCCTTGTAGAAAAATAGAAGCATTTCAAACTTGATCAATAACTTTTTTTTTTTTTTAAGTAAGATTCCTGCTGCTCGTTTTTTGTTTTGTATTGTTTTGTTTTTAAGAACGCAAATAGGTAACTGATCACAGTCCCTAAATGCAGTCTTGGTGAACCAGTTTTAATCCTCACATTTGAAAGTTGGCTGGAGAAAGACATCGGTGCTTGATTTCTGGGCCATCGTGTTGTGTGTTTATAAACAAACTGTCTTTTCCCCTCTCCTCTCCCTGTCTCTCAGTGGCCGTTCCTGCAGCAGCACCCCCCGTGTGTCAGCCCAAGGGTGCCACTAACGGGAGTTATCCGGCCCCACGCCTGTCCATCTCCTCCCGAGCCACGGTGGTAGCCAGGATGGAAGGTGCCTCCCAGGGGGGCCTGCAGACCGTCATGAAGTGGAAAACCGTGGTTGCCATCTTTGTGGTTGTGGTGGTCTACCTTGTCACGGGTGGGCTTGTCTTCCGGGCACTGGAGCAGCCTTTTGAGAGCAGCCAGAAGAACACCATCGCCTTGGAAAAGGCAGAATTCCTGCGGGATCATATCTGTGTGAGCCCACAGGAGCTGGAGACATTGATCCAGGTGAGCAGGGAGGGAGTTAGCCATAGAACCACCATGGGGACAGAGGACAGCATCAATTTTGTCTTTCTGGTTCTGGGATTATCTGCCTTTGGTTATGACGCTCCTAATGGTCGGAAAGGACCTCTCTGGGGAGGTGGCATTTGAGCTGAGACCTCAAAGAAGCCAGAGGGTGAGGCATGTGACGATGTAGGGGCAGGGGGCCAGCCATGCAATGGCCCTGATGTAGGGGCAGGCTGTAATCTGCATCACCTGCTTTTGCACGTGGTGGCCGGACGCAACAGCAGGAGAAAGGCCTGTGGATTTTCAAATCCTCATTCACCTGTGTGCACTGATGAACTTCCTGGTTCTAAAGTCTGTGTGGGATGCTGGGGTAAGAGGGTACCCGAGAAGCCAAAGAAAGAAGGCATTTTTTAAAATAAAAGTATTTTTTTAATTTTTAATTGAATTCATTGGGGTTGCATTGGTTAGTAAGATTACATTGGTTTCAGGTGTACGATTCTATAATACGTCATCTGTAAATCGCATTGTGTGTTCACCACCCCAAGTCAAGTCTCCTTCTACTACCATATATCCGCCTTTTACCCTCTTGTACATCCCTCCATCCCCCTTACCCTCTGGTGTTCACCATACTGTTGTCTGTGTCTATGAGGTTTTTTATGTTTGGGAGTTTGTTTGTTTGTTTGTTTGTTTTTTGGTTAATCCCTTCATCTTTTTCACCCAGCCACACAGCTCCCCTCCCCTCTGACAGCTATCAGTCTGTTCTCTATCTATGAGTCTGTTTCTGTTTTGTTTGTTAGTTTATTTTGTTCATTATATTCCACATTTGAGTGAAATCACATGGTGCTTATCTTTCTCTGACTGGCTTACTTCACTTAGCATAATGCCGTCCAGGTCCATCCATGCTGTCACAAAGGGTAAGACTTCCTTCTTTTTTATAGCTGAGTACTATTCCATTGTGTAAATGTACCACAGGTTTTTTATGTACTCATCTACAGATGGGCACCAGGGCTGCTTCTAAACCTGGGCTATTGTAAATAATGCTACAATTAATATAGGGGTGCACATATTCTAAGAAAGAAGGAATTTTGAACAAGCTGGGATGCTTTAACCTGTCAAGGTCAATGAGGATGGAGTGAAGAAAAGGCCACCAAGATGTGGGATGATGAGACTGTTATTGACTTGGGACAGCCATTTGGGTGGATTTCTGGGGATGATATAACAAGGATATCAGTCGTAATCAAGGTTGCTATTTTGAACACTTACTGTGTGCTAAGGCACTCGCATACACTGGATATTAAGAGAAAAAGATCCATTTTTAAAATGAAGGCAGAGAACTTGGGCTACCACTTAGACAAGCAAGGCAAAGAAAGCAGAGGGTGGAGGTGGCCTGGCTGGGCGGCCTGGACTGGAAAGGGCTGTGGGAGAGCAAAGCCATCCAAGGTGCCGTGATGGGAGGGAGTGAACAGAGGAGTCTGCGAAGAGAGAACTGAGTCCCAGGAGGAGGAAAGAGGAAGGGGTTGGAGCTCCGCTGGAGGGCTCCCCTTGGAGGTGCGGGAGGATGGCTCCTGTGAGGCTGAAGTCTGCTTTCGTCTCCTAAACACCCTCCTGAACCATGAGGAGTTGGTCATGGTGGGAGGTGGTGACATTTGCGGAGGTAAGACACAGTCTCATCTTTTTGGAGGTTCTACATTTGGAAGGCAGAGGGATGGAAAAGACGGCTTCCCTGGTTCCATCTGGCTCTGGGATTGTCTGCATTGCATTCTAATGGCTACTGCAATCCAGGGTTCTGTAGGATTTGCACATCAGGGCTGGCTTATTGTTTGTCTGTTTCAGATTGCATTGATAGGAGGGGAATTCTGAGGTTATCTGGGATCTGGCACCTTCCTAGTAATCATGTTCTCTTAAATTAGTTTTGATAACCTGACTTGACTCTTAAATGAATAAAAATACACATTTTTCTCCTGAGAATAAATATGATTTTATACCTATGCCCTACAATTTTTGTTTTAAAAATACAACTTATCCATGCTAACATTCAAGGGCAAGTTTTCATGTCCCTCTTTCTTAGATGGTCTTACCTTTTTTTTTTCTTTCATGAGAAAATGCTACCAAATGATGACAGGATTGTACTAATCTTGGCCAGCTTTAAGGCCTGGAATGCCACAGAGATTGAGGGAAATAATTATGGAATCGTTTTAACTAAGAATGCAGTTCCATTTATACATGTTGTTGTGATATGTGGTGAGATCATTTTTATTTAGTTACAATACATATAATAACCTAAAGGTGATCTGAATTGAGTCTACATTCATGCTTGAATTGTCCATCCTTAGACAGTGAGATCTTGAGGAAAAGGATTATGTCTGTCTTTGTATCAACGTCTACCCTCCTGATTGCTTCGGATCTAAGTATTACCCAGTAGAGAAAGGTCTTTGGAGTGGGATATCAAACTACATCTATAACACTGGTGGTGCTATGAGATATCTGAGCTTATTCATGCATTTGTTTATTATTTCAGTTTTAATTTACTCTCTTTCTTAAGAATGGGCTCAGGGGCCAGAATGAAGGACCGGATAGGAAAAGTATAGAGGTGCTAATTCTGGTGCTGCCAATTATGACCCATCCCAGGTTTTGAGCTGAGGGGTTTCTCTATGAAATGAGGGCTGTGTGTATGTGTGTCCTTAAAATCATTTTTTATAACAATTTGAAAAGCTACCTTTTATTAGGCACCTGTTATGAGTTAGGTACCTTATACCCATTATGTCATTTAATCTTTCCAACAACCCTCTAAGTTGGTATTATAATGCCCATTTTACAGATGAGGAAACTGATGCTAAAAGAGGTTGAATAACTTTCCAATTGTCAATGTGGCAGAGCTGGGATTCAAAGTGAGGTCTGTCTGACTCTACCCTGCCTCACCCGGTGAGTCTACAAGCCCTTAAATAGGTCTTGGTTTATCATAAGCTCCACTCTTTCTTAAACATTTGTTTTAGGTGTATCACTTTCTAGCATTTTATCAGAATCAAGAAACATTGGAGTTCCTTGCTCTACAACAGAAGCATTGCTCTGTTTCTTCCCTCTATACCTATTGAGTGTCAGTCCTAGACCTGGGTACTTTAAAATATCCATCTACTGTGATTAAAGGAATTATACTTGTATTTATTTCCAGTTTTTGTAGGTTAAGTAAGTTTAAATGTTGAACCCATGTCAATCAAGAATCAAACATCATGGTTTGCCCTTCGGTTCACTGATTTCTTCATAGGATGAAAATGTCCACACTTACAGACCAGGCAGCATTATCTAATGTTATTCCTCTGAACAGCACCGTATGTAGTGCTCATGAGAAACACAGTATTTGGGAGAGTTTTCAGTGTGGTGTTTTCTAAGCTGGAAAATAGTATTATTGTATCTCTTAAAGGTCTGAAAGGAGTGACCAGTAGGTAGAAAATTAGATTGATGGTATTTATCTGGTAATACCAGGATTCTTGTCTGGATTGAGTGATCTCCTCATAAAGCTAAGCTGGAAGGTGTGGTTGATGTTATTAATAACAAAAACAGAGTATCCAAAACAGCACAACCCCCAAGAAATGGCTGGATAGTTTAGAAGAGCCATAGCTGGGGAGGGATTTTTCAATGAATTAAACTACTTTTTTGAATACCATGGGACTCTGGAGGAGACTGATAGGTCATTATGCCTGAAAGATGAAGAAAGATGAATTGCTGTAGTGGAGAAGACTATCTCATTCATTCATTCGTTTGTTTATTCATTCTTTCTATCATTCATTCTTATATTTTTTAAATTGCTATTGAGCTTCTATTATATCAAGTAACGTGCAAGGTGTTGGGAATGGAAGAGGTGAGAATAAGACATACCTTGAGCAAGTTACTAACCTTTCTGTGACCAGTTTATCAAAAAAATGTGCCTAAAATCCTCCACCCTTAGAGTGTTGAGAGGATTAAATTCATGCATAGAGCTTGGAACTGTGCTTGGCACCTCATGAGTGCTCCAAAAAATATAGCTATAGCTGATGCTGTTCATGTTATTATTCAAGTTGCTCTGAGTTTTGACCAGTGGTTCTTAATGGGGAGGGGGTTGGCCTCTAGGGGGCATCTGACAATGATGTCTGGAGACACTTTTTGTTGTCCCCACTGGGGAAGTACTACAGTCACCTGGTTGGCAGAGGGCAGTGATGCTGTTCAACATCCTACAAAGCACAGCGTAGTCCCTCATCACAAAGAACTATCCAGTCCAATATGTCAACAGGGTGAGAAATTCTAGAGGAAGAGGCATGTAAACCAGTAATTAGAATTTATTGGCATGGAGCTATTTGAAGAACGTGAAAATTGGAGCCCCAGCCAGGCGAGAAGGGAAGATTTTGTGGCTATTTATTTCCTATGATGATAGTCTTTTGTACCCATTTACAGATTAAGAAACTGAGGCAGCAGGAGGTGAATTTACATGCTCAAGTTCACCTGGTCAGTAAGTGGAAAATGCAGGATTCACTCTTGGGCAGTATTTGAACTCTTATTCCAGGTTCTTAACCACCACACATTGGAACAAAAATGTAGAATATGGGAGGAGGTCATTTGGTAGGCCATGGTGAAGGTCACCCCAAGGGCATGTGGCCCTATGAAGGATCTGCAAGTGGTCCGTGTGGCTTGAGCTGAGAGGTATGGGAAATGGTGGTAGGGAGGCTGGGGAGCTACGTGAGGGCTGGCTTTGGGAGGTGCCCAGAGAGCCTTGCTGAGGAGTTTAGGCTTTAGGCTGTGGCAAGTGTGGAATCACTGAAAGATTAAGCAAGGCAAACATGATGGACATTTTCTGTTGGAAAGATAACACTTTTAGCAATGGGGAAGTTGGGTCGGCTAAGAAAGACCAGTTAAAACATTGCAACATCATAGATGAGAGACGCTAAGAGATAAAAAGACCCACATTGAAGAGAGTCTGGCAAAGAAAACTTGAAAACAACTCATTCCCTATTTGGCAAAGAGTTCTGGAT